TTTTACTTAAAAACATTTTGAAGTCATGTCAGAACTCTAGTTTATAAGCATGTGAAAAGAGATGAAATGAGCTTGATGAAGTAGTTATAGACAAGACAATAATCAAGCAGTTATAGCCATACAAGAAGGAAGTAGTTATAGACAGATAAGAATGAAGCTGTTACAGCTAGATAAGAGTCAAGCAGTTACAGCCAGACAAGAATCAAGTAGTAGCTAGACAAGAGTTGGTTAGCTGTTTGAAGTATCCTACAGTAATCTTAGGATTACTTTTTACCTTTTCTGTGAACTTTTCATGAGTTTTTTTGCTGTATTATTGCAGATGTGATGAATGTATGCTGTCATATCATTTAAAATGTCTGGATCCACCTATGAAAAAGTCCCCAAAGGTCAGAGGTTACATGTGGCACTGTGAGGCATGTGACATGATGGACAGTTCAGTAAGTGACCATCCAATTCAAATCTCTCCAACTGTTCCTAAACCCACTTCCAGAGTCTGAACTATTTTCTCTTTTATGTTTATAAAATTGCTATAAATGTTTTCAAAGCAAGGTGACCCAGTTGAGATTTGAAATCACAAAACATTAAAAAAATCAAAATTAGCTTTAAGGAATGGTATAAAGTATTTCGAACTTAAAAGGCTCTTGTTATTTATATTAAAGTCCTTTGAAATGAATGTTGCAAGCCTCAAGGCTTGTTTATATTGCAACAGGTTGGTCAATGCTGTCCATTGGCTACTTTTTTTAGTAGCCATTTGCTGGGTCAGGTTGCGATTTTGCAAATCTTTCTTTACCAGGTCTTTTCAGGTCACCCCCCCCCCATGAAATTCCATGTCCCAGCTCATCTCCCCCTCAGCTAACAGATTGAGATCCTGTTGTAGCTGGTCCTGGTCAGATCTGTTGGCGATCGTCCTATACACTGCTGTGTCTTAGCCATTTGCTGGGTCAGGTTGCGATTTTGCAAATCTTTCTTTACCAGGTCTTTTCAGGTCACCCCCCCCCCCCGATCTTCATGGCACTATACTTGGGGGCTCATGTTATAAAAAACCCATCTTCAGAACTTGGTGCAATGATGGTCGCTCTCAACTCTTGTCTTCATGAAGATAGCATTGGCCATTATGCAGATAATAAGGCACAATTTTGCACTGTCACGAAGTAACATGCCTAAAAGTTATTTAATGTTTTAAATAAACACTACTTGATACATTTTTCTGACTAAGAGAACCAAATGATTCTGGAGTTCCCCATGACCTCTGCTCTAGTTAAATGTTTGTATTAAACAGTCATTGTAATGGCATAGTTCTACATAGCTTTCCAGGTCTAATAAAGTGTAGGTATTAAATAGTCATTTTATTGGCATTTATACAGCACAGATTTCCTGGTCTAATTAAACTTTTGCCTTAAATAGTCATTGTATTGGCATTGTTACAGCACAGCTTTCCTGGTCTAATTAAATGTTTGTATTAAACAGTCATTGTTATGGCGTAGCTAATACACAGCTTTCCTGGTCTAATTAAATGTTTGAATGAAACAGTCATTGTATTGGCAATTTTGATACAACAGTTTTCTGGTCTAACAGAAATTTATTTATTTTTATTCATGCTATTTTGATTGGTTTACATTCATATTAGTTTCATTTGATCATCATTGCTCAGTAAGATAAACACATATACATAACAACATATGCAACACAAAATACAGGTCTTTTTAAAGCTGGAAGTGATTTTTAAAAAAAAATATTAAAATCCTTTATGTCTGCAATGCCGAAATCATTACAGGTTCCACTTTTCCAGAGACATGAAATTTTCAACTCAGTTTAGCCTGGTGACATATTTATATCTATGGACTATTGAAGTTTATTTTGACTTATTCTTAAGTTTATGCAATATGTTTTCTAATCAGAATGATGAGCCAGTGAGAGCTAGGAAAGATGACAGAAGGCCAAATGTAAAGAGACCAAAAGCGAGGGAAGCCAGCAACAGCATCATATTTGATATTGATGTCTCTAGCGACAACTCCAGCTGAAATATTGAGGTTTATTAGTTCAAGTGAAGCTCCCATTTACATGTCACTCATTGAGATATGCTCTTAAAAAACAAAACTCTTCTCTAGATATGATCCATGACGAATGAAGCTGGAACTGGTGAATGAAGCTGGTACCGTTATTTTTGAGGTGGCAACTGCCTTGTCGAACTTAGGTTATTTCCTCTGACACTCGGAGCCGCTGTGTCTAACTGTATAATTTCCATCTGCACACCTACAGTTAAGTTCACAATAAGCATATATGATGATTTAAGTGGTCATGCTCATTTCCACGGATGAAATATTTATATAATTTCCAGGAATATGGCCACCTAGTTTCCAGTTATTATGAATGGAGCAGAGTTATTTCAGAGTTATTTCTATTTAACTCGCATATTTCTTATGTGGAGTTATAGAAACATTCTAACATACTTTTCTGGTCACTCCTGAAAAAAACTCATAAAAATTACAGCCATTATTAACATATAGACTAAATCCAAGCTGTAAAATCAGTGACATGTATTTTATGTTTGTAATAAGAAATTATCATTTACTTCACGAGTACTCTTGTCTTGAGAAACCCTGGCCAAGCATTCAACTAAAATGTCTGAGTAATCTGTATATTTAAGAACAATGTTAATATTGAAACAAATATCTACTGCTCATGTTTTGATAGTAGCATTGGATTAGTAGATAAAAAAAGCCAGTTACTGATATGTCATGTATTCATTGGTAACCAAATTCTTTTTGGTACCACAGCAATTATGTATTGACCTGAGAGGTATACATCTATTCAGTGTCATAGTCATTAATGATATTTTCACATTAAAATTGCTCTCAACTGTCCTTTGAGATGGATGAACTATTACTCTTTTCTACCTTTATGATGTTGAATTACTAAAACTTACAATTACTGTATTTGTTGATCTGTTGCCAATAAATATGGTCAAGAAAAGTCCATGCATTACTGACTTTATTATTTACCAAATAAATAAATTATAACACGCATGTAATGGGCTCGTTAGTTTGACATAAGCATATATCATATAGCTTTCATAATTTACAAACAAACAAATACTTTATAGCACCAAATAATTTTAAGTGTCTCATTTTAAACCAAAAAAAATGCTGCTTGATATCTATCGCCAAAAATAGAATAAAACAATTTCATGACATAACTACAAATGAAATAAAACACCCAGGTGCATTCAATACATACAACATAGTCTTTATCAGGCTGTGAATATATCACAGAGATGTGGTGGTAAAGCAGGTAAGTAAACTTGGGCATGAAAAGAGCAAGTGTCACATGACTTCGTTTAACATGAGCTAAGAGAGCTTTCCATTACTTTCTTACCATTGTCAGTTTCAGTTAGGATGGATATGTTGAAATAAACCCTGTCTTTTGTCTTGTAAAATATCTTACAGTAGCTTATAACCCTTGTCAAGAATGTATTCGATCTGTCATCATGGCTGTTTTGTTAAACATTCTGCTGCCCATGTATTATTTTTATTATTAGGTGGTTTTATATAGTGCAGTATCCCGGCCTAGGGCCAGGCTCACTGCTCAGTACCCCAGCCTAGGGCCAGGCTCACTGCAGTGCCGCAGCCTAGGGCCAGGCTCACTGCAGTACACAAGCCTTGGGCCAGGCTCACTGCACTACCCCAGTCTAGGGCTAGGCTCACTGCAGTACCCCAGCCTAAGCCTAGGCTCACTGCAGTACCCCAGCCTAGGGCCAGGCTCACTGCACTTCACGTAAAATTAGCAATTACAGAAACGTATACATTTAAAAACAATTGTTGAAAAGCTTGACCTCACTCACCCAAGTACCGTACTATCTACCCCTGTCTAGCCATGGACAACAACCGGTAGAATCGAGCGTTGCTTATCAGTCAGAGGGGGGTGAGAATGAGTCGTTATAATACAGTTTGAAGAGATGGGTCTTGAGGGCAGTTTTTTTTAAAGGCTGTGATGGTCGTTATATTGCGGATGTGTAAAGGGAGAGAATTCCATTGTTTTGGGGCACAGAAAGGGGCCATCCATAAAAGACGTCCACAAATTTTTTGCTATTTTTTACCCCCCCTCCCCCTTTGTCCACTTTTTCACAAATTTTTTGCTATTTTTTCCCCCCCCTCCCCCTTTGTCCACTTTTGACTTGCCCCCCCCCCCGCCCCCCCCCCTGTGGACGTCCAAAACATAAAATTTACCGAACTTAAATTAATGAATATTTTGGGAAAATGTACAACAATATATAGAGTTATGTATTTACAAAGATTTTTTTAGAAAGTCCAATTATTTGCAGGCAAAATTCTAAATGAAATAATATTACTGTTCAAAAACATTTTATTGAATCACTGTATTAAAAAATGTAATAAACAAATAATCCACCATTCTTCAATCAACGGAAAATTCGGACTGCAGCCATTCAAACTTATTTCGTATAATGACAACATCTGTTTTGAGTCTTCAATTGCTAATTCAATTTGAGTGGCAGTCTCTTCGTCTGATTCGTCTGCCATATTATGTTCACTAGCAGGAATATTGCAATGGACGACCTTCTGTTTTTTCATTGCCGCCTGTGATGGGAAATATTTACCGCAGAAACATATTCTCTTGGAAATTCTCCCAGCATCCGATGGACAATAGAGATCAAAAGGCATGCAAAACTGTTATTTGAGATTTTATTGTATTTGACAAATCAAACTTTAACAACATATTTTAAAAATAATTTTCAAGTTATTAATTATTAATATTGAAAAAATTGTTTCTAAATTTAACCACTCAGTTTGTGAAAGATTGTTTAGGTTTGCATCCCAACTCTTTTGTCATTAAACTAGAAGTTTTTTGCAGTAAATTTATGCAAAACTGCTGCACTTAAAAAAACACTACAATGTGGACATCCACTTTGTCCTAACCCCCCTCCCCCTTTGTCCACTTAAGTCCACTTTTTGCTGAACCCCCCCTCCCCCCTTTTGTGTGGACGTCTTTTATGGATGACCCCAAAGAGAAAGTTTGTAGTCGGACTTTATATCAAAGATTAATTTATTCCTTCAACATAGAAGTCAAAAGTTAATTTCCTAACATAGTACACCTTATCAATTGTTCTCTCCAGAGATTACTGTATGCTTGATCTTTTGTTTGTCTATTGCTGATGTCTTGTCCTGGTTATTTGTCATCATAGCATAGATGCCATCAACATTAGTTTTCAGTGACTGGATTTGCTCGGCCATCGTGGCCATTTTAGATGCCAGTTCTCCCAGTACAGCTTTGTCCTTGTCCTCATGTGCACCACATTCACAGACAGACTGCTTGACTTTAGCCACCTCAATGTACCACCTGATGACGCCAATGGTTTGATCAGATGGGCAAATAAACCTGTCACAAAGAATCAAAAGAAGATTTAGTTAGTTATTCAATACTAAGGCATAACCAGGTGCAGTTGTTATTTTGAGAAAATACCTGGTGGGTCCAAGTGTTACAAAAAAAAAGAGGTACCGTACCTTCTCATTTTCTATAAACAATAAGCTTACAGTAAGACAGTCCCACACCCTACCTGCCGGCCTTTAGACAATAGTCCTACAGACAGTCCTCATCATACCTCCCGGCCTTTAGACAATCATCCTACAGACAGTCCTACACCCTACCTGCCGACCTTCAGACAATAGTCCTACAGACAGTCCTCACCATACCTCCCGGCCTTTAGACAATAGTCCTACAGACAGTCCTCACCATACCTGCCAGCATTTAGACAATAGTCCTACAGACAGTCCTACACCCTACCTGCCGGCCTTTAGACAATAGTCCTACAGACAGTCCTCACCATACCTGCCAGCATTTAGACAATAGTCCTACAGACAGTCCTACACCCTACCTGCCGGCCTTTAGACAATAGTCCTACAGATAGTCCTCACCATACCCATGGTTATTTATTGATTAATATAATAGTCACCTCCGAAAAAATTCAACCTTTTTACTAGAGCTCAACCATCAAGCATGACACTTAGGAGCCACACCAGACATGAAATATATATAAGAGATTATATTCACACTCTAGGTTTACATACATACTTAAAATTACAAAATGAAAAGATATATCCTTATAAAGATATAACCATACTAACATATAGCCATAATAAGAATAATTCTAAATGAAAAACCACTTTACTCACTTGACTATCAAAATTTAAAAAAAAAATGGAGAAGTGAGTGAACAAAATGAAAATGTAACAAATTGTTTTTAAGGCAGAGCTAATTTTGTTGTAAACTGTGGTGAGTATTACACTTCTGATGCTCCCTAACCGTGCATTACTGAATCATTAGAATTTTATAAAAAAATATAAATTCAAAGATACTTTGATTGAAATACTAGCACATTTTTCTCACACAGGTTGTTGGGTAAATTATAAAAAAACATAATTATTGTAGTCTACCCTTTGGTAATCTTGACCTTGCTAAACATTGGAAAGGTCAAGGGCATGATCCTCTCCACATCCACTCCCAGCTTCACTGACTCAATCCTCCATGTTTGGGTTTGTTTCTTCAACAAAAATAAATGTAAATTATTTTATCCACCTTAGATACTTAGTTGTATACAGGTTCAAGGAGTCAGGATGTGGAGTTAGGGCATGTTGAGTGGTTGGGTGTGGAGAGTTAAGGTGTGAAGTTGCGGAGTGTGTAATGGCGGGGTGTAAAGTGGTGGGATGTGGAGACTTATGGTTTGAGAGTTGGGTGGTATGGTGGTGTGTGGAGTGTTAGGTGTAAACAGAAAGATCTCTCAGCTTAGATATTTTAAAATTATTCTTTGTTTAATTTTTCATTATATTTTACAGAATAATTCTCCAAAACTCAAAACTGATTTGGGTTCAGTCTTATCAAATTGATTTATAGCTACTTTGTTGAGATAGACAATTTTAAAACAATAAATATATGGAGTTAGCAGGGATAGAGTAAATTTAATTTGAGAGGTACAGTTTAAATCTAAATACCAGTACTTTACTGCAGCAATCACCAATTATGAAAAGCATAATTACTGTAATAAAATTAAATAATTTGTACATTAAGAAATTTTTCTCCCTTGAACAGCTTGACAAAGATGCAATGTGGCTTTTTTCCCTAGACTTTAAAAAAAATAAATTCTTACCCTGAGAATTTCCTGATATGAACCATTCATCATGGCAATGAGCAGGTTAAGTAGAACAATGGTGGCAAGGACCATGTAGATCACATACAGAATCTAAACAAATGGGAAAAAACAAATTCACGAAACAAACTTAAATGATACATTTTGTTGAGATGCTAAGTAAATAAATATTTGTATATTTTTACATTTAGTCAACTCTATTGTTCATTAACTGTTTTTACTTGATTACCGGGTATGTGGGTTCTAAAATGACAGAGTTTAATTTGTAATAATATCTTTTTTATTTTTCTAATTATTTGACATTAACAAATATGTTGTATTTGGGGCAATTTAACTAATTTCACAGCTAAGTAATTGAAAATTATGATCACGAGTTTGTGACTAGTTTTTAAAAAATATATACCTTCATAAACAAAGTTGATCTGCTGAGAGATGAGAGCCCCTCATCCACAACACCATACTCAAAGACATACTCCATCCCAATCAACATGTTGAACATTAGAAAGACAGTGTAGACAGGATTGGGGTAGAGATCTGACAATGTTGCAGATACTGAAATACATGAAACATGTCATTTTTTGGCTAGTATGGTTATCATGCAGATAATGAAAAAAAGAGTGGTTTAGAGATTATTTAAAACCTGAATGGAGAAATAAAAAAAAATGACAGAATCAAGCTTGGCTCCTTTATTGGCTTGCAAATTAATTTTAGGACTTTCAACTATTTAGCAGGGCATTAACTGTAATTAGTTACAAATATGAATTAATCATGCATATGCAAATAAAGTACTAATTGGGTTGTTAATTTACATAATATTATTAATATCAACTGGAAAAGGGGTAAAATAACCAGAAAGAATACATTTAAAATCCCTCTTCTGTCTTCTGACTTGGAACCCACAAGTGTATGCCCTCAGGTTGTGCTGGACCATCTGTGTGGTAAATGATTGGCTGCCTTACCTTGGAAGAGAGCATGGAAGGCAAAAGTAAAAGCCAGCAGCACAAAGAGATAGATAAACAAGAACTTGAGGACGTCCCTGATGATCATGATCTGAATGAGCCGCCAAAAATAGTTGATAACTTTAAAACCTCGAGTTAAGGAAATTGTGAACATCCAACCTACAATAAAATGAAATTATGTTTTATTAATTAAAATAAAAACAAAAAAGGTTCGTAAAGACAGTTGAAAATGAGGATCTCATTTCAATTCAAAACACAGATCTAAAAAAAAAAACAAACAAACACCATAATTTAAGCACAGATAAATTCTGCCTCCTGATAAATTATCAAAAGTTGAGCTTAGGGATTATTCATCAAAGACTGTGGCTACTTGTGAAAAAGAATAAGTCAACTCTCTTATACATAGTGACATTATTGGTCAACTAGCCTAAACACTATCTATTGATCATAATTGATGGGTCAACTCATGTATAAAAAAAGAATGATTGATAAAATTATCAATACACAGTGTAATTATTGGTCAACTCACCTATACACAGTGCAATAGCCAGGAAGTAATCCATATAGCTGTAATCTACTACATATGTAATGATCCATGTGATGACAAATATGGAGTAAACCAGGCCCACAATTACAGACATAAGTGTTGTTAGCTGGGCCACAGGTCCACCCTGAGAAAGCTTTGACCTGGAGACAGTCAATGTGACCAATTTTACACCTGCATTGAAGTTGTATCAATTCAATTAAAATCTTAATTTGTATGCCACTCTATAATTTTACTCTACACCAGGGGTGTCCAACCTTTTAGCTTCCCTGAGCCACATTGAGCTTCCCTGGAAGACTAGTTGTTTTGGACCACATGGAAAATACACTAACACAACCCAAAGCTGATGAGAAAAAAAACAGTATATTTATATAATTTAAACTTCATTTCCTTCATTTAAAAAAAATGTATAAGTTAAAAGACAAGACAGAAACATGAAATTAGTGGAATGTTTAAGATTGTTTTTGAAAATTTAATTGTTCAATATTCAGTTTGATGGAAGCATTTGTAATTCTCAGTGAGTTCTTAAGGTGCTCATCATATATTTTGGTTCTAGATTTATTCTTCAAATACTTTATTGCAAACAGCTGAACACAAATGTTGGTTCTTCCAAATAGTGATGACATGAATAATGGATGCTTGGGAAGCAAGATATATTTTTCTCTGAAAAGATGTAATCTTATAGAAGTCAAGTAAAGAGACAGGCTCAAAATTTTTCTTTAAGTTAAATATGAAATTGTAGCTCTGTGCATTCAATTTTAAAATTGACATGTAATATGATCTTATGTCGATTGAAAGTGGATTTGCAATTATATCAAAAGATTCATTTTTGTCTGAAATACTGAAACTTGTTCTCAATTTCCTGTCGTGAAATCTCTACAAAATATTATCTTGACTTAACACTTTACTTCCGAAAACTAAATGTCCCCATAATGAGCATCCATAAATTTAAGGAACTCTTGGAATTGGCCATGAGTCCATCTCTTGGCCTTTTTGAAATTGGCAGTCTTGATGACAAACTGCATGACTTAATCCTTCTTTAATCTTTTGTGTATGTTTTCTTGGTGCACTATGCAGTGAAATTTCATGATACACACATTTTTAGGCAATAGCATCAACTACTTTTCATTTAACAAGTCCATCTCTTATGTTCACAATGTACAAATAAAATATCTCTAACACATTTTAGTAGACATAGGGCCTGTCAAAGTCAATGGTATTTTTATTCACAATTTTATAAAGTTGGAAAATTAATGATATTTTTATTAGGCCCCATTAATTGTCATCTTGGGCCACATACAGCCCACGGGCTGGACACCCCCTGGGCTGGACACCCCCTGGGCTGGACACCCCCTGGCATATGAAAAATCAAAAACATTTCTCAAAATAGTTTATTTATTAGCAATACTTATTTTAAGCTGTAATAGACATTAATATATAATGAAAGGCAAACTAAATATTCAAACTAAAAATAATCTTTTGAAATCAAACTCTGTATTTTGGGACAGACAGGCTCACTTGATTGAAAGTTCCCCCATGCAACACAGTTTGTAGGTGTTGTAGAAAACAAAGAAAGCTGGCTCTAGAGGTACGATGATGTAGGTCACTAAGGTAGGGGCATCATAATCTCGCTCTCCAGGTTTTGTTCGACTGTTATATAAGAGGGTCAGTCCAGACCAGCTAGAGATTGAAAAACTTAATTTAAAATGATTTTTTTAATGATTTCTTATTTAGAAGTTCCATAAAAAAAATTTAAAAAATGATACTTTTACTTTAAAATTAAAGTTGCCTACACATGTTATGGAAGGCTGATACAACTAGCTCTATTCTGTCAAATTTATAACGTGTAGATTAAAACAAAAAATTTAAGTAACGTTATTATTTGTACCATGTATTGTCATAAGAATCAATAATCAGACAATGGAAGAGGGCAGCTGAAATAGGGTAAGGGTGGGTAGAACAAGGTGACACATATTTGGAGGTCGATTTTCTAAAATTCATGAACTATATGCATTTTATGTGTATGACGCTTCTCACTCACCTGAATAAACTCATGTAAATTATGTGGACAATCATTATGATGAGATACGCCCAGGCAGCTACTGAACTGTAAGCCATTTCAATATCACTGAAAGGCTAAAACATAAGAGATCAATACAAATGTATAAGAAGGTCAAAGGTTAATTTATTTGGGAAGCTTGCTAAAATTTCTTTCTTAATGAAAATAGACATGCATGCAACTATCTGGCCTTGCTATATTCCTGTTATTGGTTCTGAATGTTAGGGCTTTTTCTGCTATCATTTTCCCATACTTAACACTAGTTCCACTCTGCTTCTAAACATTACAAGACAAATTGTATGGCTCTTATTGTAAAATCTGATTAGATTTATGATCTCTTACTCAAATATGCCACAGGAAATCATCCTCTAGGTAGTTGGTTTGCTGAAGAAAAATGTAAAATGTGGTCTACCTTGACTGAATTACACCCATGCCAAACTCTCAAACATGAAACAAACACTTCATTCACCCCTTGCTCCTCTGTGGGCACAAAAATTATCAAAATATCAGCTCCATTTGTTGTACCTGAAGATCCAGGATCTTGGCAGCATTTTGAGGTGTGTCATGACCACTTGCAAGCAGCCATTCTAGACAAGATGGCTGTCCTTTGACAAACATACCTCCACATTTTTCATTAGTCCTAGGAGTTATTCCTGTTATGTCATAACGGACATACTTGCCAGCCTTAGAAAACATAAGAATATGTCTTCTAAAGATTAGGATTATGTCTTATAAACAATAGGATTACGTCTTCTAAATATTAGGATTATATCTTGTAAAAATTAGGATTATGTCTTAACATCAAGGATTGTTTTTAAGACATGCAAGAGTTCATTTTGTAGAGAAATAAGATGTCAACTGTTACTCTTGATATAAAAAAGGCTGAGAAAAAATTGATTTTGGTAACTGAATGATGTGTTCAAACAGGTATTTATGACCAAATAAAATACTTTACTGATAATTTTACTATGTTAGTTGAAAGAGTTCTTCAGAAGGCAACACGTCCATACAAACATAATTAATGTCATTTTAAACTACTTAAGTGATCCCAGTCTAACCTGTTCTTTTCACTGAGCAGAGAAATTTTGGATTGTAAAGACATAACAAATTTTATATCTTGCCAGTTACTTTCAAAAGAAATTTTATAATAATTAACACTCATCAAAGTCTTACACCTTAAATGCCATGACATCGTCCATTGAGACAAAAAACTTGACCACATCACTGGCTCCCATTTTGCAGGCAAGGTCCAGGACACTGAGGTCTTCATTGTTGCTCAGCTCACAGAGAAGGTTAAGGATGGCTTTTCTCCTTATGACTGCTTGCTGATCTTTGCTATCAGTTAATTTGATTTTCTTCATTGATGAGTACCACTTTAAGATTTAAATAAGTTGCAAGTCTAAGTGCCTTTTTAAAATAAGGAAATCCCATTTTAAAATATTCAATATCAAAATTACAACTATATATTTTCAATGAAATTAACTAGTTTTAGTTTAGGCACTACATTAATCTTTTCATATCATAAATTTCCTTAGCTAAAGGGGGGACAAACTGGTTAGCCATGTGGAGTAGGCAGCCCTGAGGAAAAAAACTCAATTTGATACTGTCTAGTATAAAAATAAATTGTAGAGCTTGGAAGCACTGTTTAGTCTTGGCAAAAAATTTGTTATGAAAAAATTCACTTTAATATTATCAGTTAATTTACATGCTTGAGGTAAAATTACAGAATTACAAAAAAAATAATATTTTTCTTAAAATAAAATAAAATTTAGGTGCAAATTAATTTTACAACCCCCCCCCCCCTTTCCGGGAGTTTCCGGGAGCTTTCTTTAGAATAAGTAAAAAATTCACTTTAATATTATCAATTAATTTAAATGGTTGAGGTAAAATTAAAAAATTACAAAAAAAATAATATTTTTCTTAAAATAAAATAAAATTTAGGTGCAAATTAATTTTACAACCCCCCCCCCCTTTCCGGGAGTTTCCGGGAGCTTTCTTTAGAATAAGAAGTTAATGACTGAGTTTAAGCTGTGTGAAGGTACTAGAAGAAGAAGTTATTTGAAGCTTGAAATACCAAGACAGGACAATAAAAGAAGAAGAAGGTATGTGAAGCTTGAAACACAAAGACAGGACAATGCTCTTCTTTTATTTCGGCTAAGAGACTTTTTAAAAAAAGAAGTGTTCTCCAAATTCATGTTATATCCTGGAAGTTTAATAACATGAAAATGGCGATCACTTAAATTTTTTAACTGCTTTTATTTCTTGCTATCTATTCATTTGTCCAGACTGTCCAGGAAGGCTCTAAGCCAAAACCGTTTTCTTTTCTTATCCTGTCTTTCTCTTTCAAGCACCTCCATACCTTGTTTTTTTAATTTCTCTAGAATGAAGTCACCTGCAGAGCTGTCTCTAGAATATGCTCACCTGAAGAGCTCTCTCTAAAATGATTGCAATTATGTCAAGATATCGGGAGCTGTGTGCAGGGTCAGTAACTGTGATGCTAGTTAACATATGGAGCACTGTGTTACCCTTGTGGTCAGCTAGTGAAATATCTGCACCAAAGAGCATCAGTCGTTTGACACTGTCCAGAAATCCCTCTCTGGTAAAGCATTAAAAAATTAAACTAATGGTAAAAATAAAAAATTAAATTTTTTTGACAATGAAAATAATAATTAACAAAAAATAACCTATTTATGTTTAACCACTTGAGAACATTTCATTTAACTTTTACTTTTATAATAATATCTAGAAATATGTATGAAAAAAACCAAACCAAACTGTTATAAAACATTAAATAATTAACATTTAATCTCACCTTGCGGCAAGATGCAGACATGTCTGTAGTTTTTTATTTTGATGGTTGATGTCACAATCTCGTTTCATGGCATCAAATATGTCCAACATCATTTCTAGAATTTCTGGTTCTCCAGGCCTGAAAAAAATCCCTTAAATCATTGCTCAGGTACTCTA